ACGTGCTCTGGAATATTCAGAAAAAAAATCTGGACTTGAATCCATACTTTACCCTTATGATGAGACACTGAGTATGCTTCTTGAAACTTCTAAAATGTAAAAGCTGCAAAATGGGGTTACACCACCCTCCCTCGACAGTTCCTGGAACATCGTAGGCCCTCATGTTTGCCATATGAATGAACTTTGGAGCCAAGACGGTGAGGCCAAATAGCATATATTCATTTCAAAATATTTTTAAGGGTAAAGACAAAATTACAGGTGATATCTTTACGTTCTTTTCACACCAGTAACACTTCAAAAACTAAGAACACTTCAATGGGTATTCCTAAAATAACTGACACACTTATAATAAAAAAATAATAATAATAAGGAGTGCCTGGGTGGCTCAGTCGGTTAGGCCTCAACTCCAGCTCAGGTTACACTCTCATCCTTTTTGAGCTGGAGCCTACGTAGGGCTCTGTGCTGGCAGCTCCAACCTTGGAGCCAACTTCGGATTCTTCTCTCCCTCTCTCTGTCCCTTCCCCTCTCACGCTCTGTCTCTCTCTCTCTCAAAATAAATAAACATTAAAAAGTTTTTTTTTTTAATAATAATAAGGTAACTTAAACAAACTAGTCTCTAACCTCGAAGGACAGCTACCCACTGAACCCCCGCAGCCGGGAACTGGCCCGGACCTTCGCCGGAAGTGTGCGCCGGAAGTGGGTACGACGGGCCCGCAGCTTTCTGGGACTTGTAGTTGGGGGCCCTTAGGCGCGGGCGCGGGTCAGTGTCGGGAATACTGCGCTTGCAGGTGTAGGATTCCACGTGGGAGGTGAGACGCGCAGGACAGGCAACGCTGCGGGCAGGGAGGCATTCTGTGGTTGGGATGTGGGAGTGACGCGGTGGTGGCGCAGGACCGCTGAGACCCGAAAGCCTGGCGGGGCGGCTGTGAGAGGGCTCGCGACCAAGAGGAGGTGCGGCCCGGGACCGCACGTGTGGGGATGTGGGGGTGTGTGGGGAGGGGGTGGAGGGGTGCATGGGGGGTGGGAGTCGCGACCGCCTCTGTGTCCGCCTAGCCGGACCGCGATCACCTGACACTAAACAGCCCCCAGCGCAGAAGCGGCTGCGGCTCCGAGGGGCCCATCTCTCTCGCCCGGCTTAGCTCTGGCATTGGCCGGCCTGGAGGCTTCGAAGTTGGCCGTACCGGCCATTTCTGTGCCGGTGACTGGCCTTATTCCAGGGTTTGCGGTGGATGTTAGGCGACCGAGAGGGACCCCTTTGAGAGACCTAGGTTTCTGTCCCCACAGCACTGTCCTCACACCCCAGAAATGAGGCAGGTCGGGGAAAGCGCCTCGGGGAGTGGAAATCCATTCTGAGGCAAAGCATCCAAGCTGAGAGCTCCTACTGCTCTTTCTAGAACTTCAGGAATGAAATCAGAATCCCTGAGGAAAGGGACACATCCTAGTGTTGCTGGGAGCAGCGGGATTTACTTACCTTCGTGGGTTTGGGGGAGAGGGTTGGCCTGTTCAATCCAAAGCCGTGTGGAGAGAGGTGAGGGAGGGGCAGCACGGAGAGACTAGAAAGAAAGCTCGGGAGATGGCGTGGGAAGGGCTACTGAAGAGGGATTAGTAGCAGGAGCTCAGTAACTTTTTTCCTACAGTCTTGCTGGACTGGCTGGTCTGTACCCTGCAAGGTGGACTTGATTTTCATGGCTGTTTCTCTTTCCCTGACGCCACTTTTCCAGGACGGTGACCTTCCAGAGAGGAGGAAATGACCTAGTGCCAGGTAGGTGAGTTGGGGTTTCTTCTCTGTGAAAATGCCATCTCTCTGAGAATGGACAGAACCTTTCTAGCTTGGAACAAAGAAAGAACATTAGCATGAATTGGGTGCTCATCTGGTGTCAGGTCCTGTCTTTGTTCTGTACGATCTTTTTATTGTCAGACGTCGGTGTGAGACCTGAAATATTGTATACATATGGGTGTAAGAACATTAATATGCTAAGGGCATATAGCTACCAAATGATGTCGCCAGAGTCTGCACAGGTGGCCGCTTACTTTAAATTCCACATCAGTTTTCACTGAACCACCCTAGCTCCATGAACTTGGCCCACTCCCCAGAGCACTGCGCTGTGCTCTCCCATTGAAAGAGTCCACACAGCGTCTTTGCCTGGTCCTCTCTCAAAGCCTCCCTTTTCCTGCCAAGGCATTTCACTCGCATTGAAAGTTACTCAGAGTTCTCACCTGTTCCAGCCAGTGCTAAGTGGTGTCAGGAGAACAAACAGAATTATAAATTGTGGTGCTTTTGTGCATGAGCACATTCTGTGTGTGAAAGAATACACATCTTAATAATAACCATTTATTAAACATTAAAAAGTTTGGTAAATGCCAGCACAGTTGTTACCAAATCACTCCCAGTAATACTTCTTAACCAAGCTGTTCATCAGAGTTACTGTGGTGGTTTTTAAGAATTCAGATTCATAGACACTACCCTCACCCCAAACCTACTAAAAGGAGAGTTTCACTTTTTTTTTCTTTAATCTTATTGGCCTCTGTACATCCAAAGATTTGTTGGATTTGTTGTGAGATATATCTCTATAAACTTAACGTGAGCGTCATTAAGGTAGGTAAGATGGGTTATTTATCTTTTATGCTCTGGTTGCTTTGTTCCCTTCACCAACATACCTACATGTTTAATTGGTCCAATAAATTGTTAAATTACTGAGTAGTACTTTTGTAAAAACTGATTTCTCATTTGTCTCCATAAAACCATTCCTCAAAAGTTACCTCGAGGTTAACACTTAGAATCATAGAATGTTTGAAATGGGAGGAGTCCGCCAGCCCCCTCTCTGCCTTGGGACTGGCATTTTACAGAGAGCTCTAAATCTGAGGGAGCTGAAGGAAAGCACCATGTCCCCTGTTGCAGAAGCAGCAGAGTCAGAAGGAAACCCCATGTCTTCTAACTCTATGCTCTTCCCTCTCCATAACTAAACAGGTGAATTATATCAGAAGTTACTTGAATAAAATATCAGGCTGGATTTTAAGGAAGAAGTAATTGGTTCTTTGCACCACCACCAGAAAGACCATCTTTTTGCTTGGCAAATACAGTTCTTAGGTACATAGGAAGAGACCGTGAGCTCTTATAAAGATCTGTTTAGAGGACAGTAAGCTGCCCCAACGGCCTAAGAGCATGCCATCTCTGTGCCTTGAAAAGGAATTGAGGACTTCAAGGGAAATTAATGTGAATGAAACCCTGTGCTCTATATATTTTCCTTCCTTTTCCTCTACCTAGGCCCTGATGAAGATTATTTATCATGAAGTTGGGAATTGCTAATATAGTGGAATTTTGAAATTCTGGTATATATTAACAACTTTTGAATTTAAAGAAAGACTTTATTCCACCAATATTTATTGAGTGTTCTCTTATGTACCAGACATTGTCCTTGAGTCTGAAAGGCAGGAGTCCCAATTTAACCCCTCCCTCTGTGACCTTGAGTAAGTCACTTCACTATCAGGAGCCTTGGTCTTCTCATCTGTAAAATTAGAGTGTTTACCTTGATGATCTCAAAGTTCACGTATACTTGTATCTTTTCATCATTCATTTAAGTTGAATGTGAATTTGTAACTCTCGTTTAGATCCCTAGTCAGTTGTGCTAGTTGCTGGGGATTTAAAGATTAGTTGAACATGGCCCCTATCCTTTAGAATCTTGTAGCCAATTTGGAAGACAGACTTTATAGCTATGGTAGAGATATGTGAAAAATACTATGAGATCTTGAAGGAAGAGGCATTTAACTTATCGTCACGCTTCAGAAAGGCAGTTGTTGATTGTCTTGAAACTGAAAGGAGTTGCAAGATGAATGGAAGAAATAAAAGTCAGGACAGAAGCAGCATGTAAAGGGCTATTCTAGATTACAGCATGACATTTGGTTAACTGCAGGTAATCTAGTCTGACGACAGCACTTGTCTACCTCCTGACTTCTGCATTACTGTTTTCCTGCCTCTGAGTAAATTGTTGGATCCAGCAAGGATGGGCTCTGGAAAGGAAGTGGAAAGTTACATGATATAAATAGTTTTAAGGAGTTTGACATTTGTCAGGTGGGAACAGGAAACTGCTAGTCCCATGACCTTTCCCTTTGGTTAGCCTTCAGGATACTGAGTCTACCTTGGGTGTAATTCATTAGCTCCACTGATATCAGGGGAGACTGTTCATTATTCAGATTCCTTCCCCCAGCTTTGTCTTTGGCAGAACCACTATTTTCTTTCCCTTTATCACACTGATGCCTTTCATGTGGCCAACTGTCCTACCATTTCTTATCCCGGAATCTTTAGTCTACTGCAGAGTTAGTAGTCCATCAACATATCCTTTCCATTCTTGACATGGAATTCTCCCCACCACTTTATCTGTGGGATCTTAAAAAATTAGTAACTCAGTCTTTCAGTCTCTGGATTGAAAAATGACAAAACTGGTATTTTAAAGACTTGGTAAGGATTTATTGTGGTCTAGAATAAGAAACGGGGGCCTTACCTACGACGGTGGCAGTGAAATAAAGAAGAGGTAACACTTCGAAGGGAGATTTAGGAGAGAAGAGTTCATAAGATCTGAAGTGGTTTGAAATTGCTGAGGTAGGGCGGGAGTCTTAGACCATCCAGATGACTGAGTGGAAGGAAGATGGTTAAAAAATGAAAGGGGAAAAAAGATAATTGATGGACTTGAATTTCAAAAGGAAGAAGATTGAATCTAGAATGCGACGGGAGAGGTTAGCCTCATACATAAAGAAACCTTGTTCTCTGAGGTTGAGAAGAAAGTCTGGTTGAAAGGAGTGGCTAATCCTAATGCTTGACGTTCCCCCGGCCCCTGTCCTCACGGGTGTATGTATGGCACCCTGAGGTAGCAACCTCCACTTCTGCCGCATTTCTTTCCCACCTTCACGCAGGAACTTGCAGGCTTCTTGAGCCCAATCTCATCTCTCTCTCTCCTCAGATACAGTGGAGACCTGAGAGCTTGGGAGGAAACTGCTGCCTTCCCTCATCATTACCTTCCACTGGTGACAAGTAGGGTAGTCCTATCGTTCCTGCAAGCGGCCTGGTTGTCTTCAGTTTCCTGAGGCGCGAGTGGGTAGAGCCCCTTCAGCCTCAGGCCTGAGGTGTTGGAGTTCTGAAAGTTAGCAGGTTCTTCCCTGGCCCAGAGTTGAGCTGCTTCTGTGGCTTCACTTCGTTCTCATTTTATGTATATTCTGTCAGTCTGCTTTTTAGGTGTGGCCTGTAGGCTGGTGGCAGCCCACAGACGGCTTGTTACCAGTCTGCAAAGACACAAGGAGAGACACTGAGAGTGTTTAAAATAATTCAATATTTTAATAATAATTTAATAATTTAAAAATGGCTTCGGTATTTTCTATGTCTGGGTTTTTATTTTCTAGTAACTCTTTTTTATTGTATTTTACAAAAATGTGACAAGTCTGACATATTGGAAACTTTTCAAAAGAAAGTATTCCTTCACCAGAGGTAATTTGAGAAGTGTTGCTCCATCCACAGAACTCTGGAAGGAACCAGAGTCACTGTGAAGTTAACTAAATAAATGTTTGGACGCCTGTTAAATGACAGGCATTGCTTGAGGATGCAAGGATCAGACACCTCTCTGTTCTTAAGTAACATATATCTTAGTGGGGAGAGATGGTAAATAAGAAAGCAAATGAATAAATAAGAAAATGAGATAAGGCATAAGTAGTGCAAAGAAATGAAAACAAAGAGAAGTGATAGTTTCTGGATGCTACTGTGGATTACACCATCAAGGAAATGCTTCTCTGACAGCGGTCGTTCAGCTGAGACCTGAATGAAAAGGAACCAGATGTGTGTGGATGTGGGAAAAGAATGTTCTGGGCAGAGGGGACAGCCAGTTAAAGGCCCTAAGTTGGGATAGGTTTGATGTTGTCAAGGACCTGCAAGGTCACTGCGGCCAAGTATGACACGTAGGGAGGAGTGACTTGGGTTGAGGTTGGAGAAGTGACAGGACCCCAGTCTGTGAAGCTTTGCAGACTAAGATGAAGGGTCTGGATTTTACTCGATGTCCGTTGCAAACCTTTGGAGGGTTTCCTGCCTGATGTGATGTTTTAAAAGATCACCCTGGCTACTATGTGGAAAATTCATTGTGTGCGGTAGCAAGTGTGGAAGCAGAGAGACAAATCGGGAGGTTGGTACAATTCAAACTTAATATGGCTGTGCTCGTAATCATAATCTCCAAGGTGGAGAGAAGTGAGTAGATTCTGATGTGTTTTAGAGATAGAATCGATAGGACTTGGTATGGATAAAATGTGAGGAAGAGAGGAGAGAATCAAAATGACTTCTAGGACTTTGGCTTCAGCAACTGGGTGGGTTGTGTGGTCATTTACTAAAATGAGGACCCCCTAGGCAAAAGCAGATATTGATGGAGATTTTTAGGAGCAAGAGTTCCACGGGGCCTATTAAATTTTAAATGCCTCCTAGACATCCAAGTGCAGATGTTAAGTGGGATTTGGAGTGTAGAGGTAAGGGGAAACATTGCTGGGAATACCTAAGGATAGTATTTTATGGTATGTGTGTATGTGCTATTTTCTTTTTTCCAGGAACGTTCAACTACTTAGTTTAGAAGTAGAAAGAACATGATTGATAGGACTAGGGAAAGACTTGAAATCAGAAGTATACTTTGGGGGGGGGGGGAAAAGAAGTATACTTTGGCTGGGAGGAAAAAAAAAAGGAGGAGTTAGCAGGTGGTGCTCTTGATAAAAGAGGTGTGATGGAAGAGAAAGAACAGGAAGATGTTTTTAAAGAGTAGGATAGTAAGAGATTAATATTTCAAAAGCAGGGTGGTCCATATAGCAAAATGGCCCTGGTTATGGTTATTGAGTTTGAAGAAATGAGGCAGAGATGATTAGCACTAAAGTAGCTAAGAAACGTGAAGTTAGAGTGTTTAGCAAATTGTTCTCTTGAGTGTTGAGATTATCAGGATAATGATAGGAATGGGTGGAAAAGACAACTCAGCAATGTCATGAGATGACAGTGACAAGGAAAGATTCAGTAACTGGACAGCTTAAGCTTGGGTGAGTTATGGACAGGAAGGGAAGGATTTGGATAAAAATAGCAAAGTGGATGAGAAGAGAAAGTTGTTCCAACAAAACTTGACTTAAATGACTCATATCCCTGAACTATACTCTTCTGTACCCTTGTTGTCCAGTGCTACCAACCCCACATTCCTTCCAAGGCATTTGTGCAAATGGTTGCCAGTCGAGGAGAAATGTGCTAAATGTTTTAGAAGCTAGTAACATTCAAGGATGTTTCTTGGGGCTTCACTGAGGAAGGGCAAGGCTGTCTGGACTCTGCTCAGAGGAAGCTGCACTGAGCTGTGATGCTGGAGAACCAGAGTTGGTCTCCATAGGTAAGAACATGAGCCTGGACACCTGCCTATTAGAATCTTTGTTTCTTCAAATTTAAATAGTGATGGGGCCCCAGGGGTGTAGTTTAGGAATTGATGTTTCCTAAATTTTTTTTTTTTTTTTTTTGGCACAAAGGATGTTTCTGATTATTCTATACAGCCAAAGAATTTGGCTTGTTAAGAATTGGAGAATGTAGGGGCGCCTGGGTGCTTCAGTTGGTTAAGCATCTGAATCTTGGCTTCAGCTCAGGTCATGATCTCACAGTTCATGAATTCGAGTCCACATTGGGCTCTCGTCTGACAGTATGGAGCCTGCTTGGGATTCTCTCTCTCCCTCTCTGCCCCTCTTCTGCTGACATGCGTGCTCACTCGTTCTCTCTCTCTCAAAATAAATAAATAAACTTTAAATTAAAAAAAAAAGAATTGGAGAATGTAGCTTTACTGAGTCATCTTAAAAACCATACCCCTTATAAAATCATCCCTTGGGACTGAATTTGCTTTCTGTACAGTTACCCGATCCTTCTTGTCTCCCAGTTGTGATCTCTCAGACCAAGGTGAAGATCATTATATAATGGAAAATAAACTCCAAAGGAATCAGTTAGGCATCATGGCAGATTATAAGCCCAGGCTAATTCATGAAAGAGGAGTCCCTTTTTTAATATTCCCGGAGTTCTTTCTAAAGTTCTCTGGTCTGTGGAGAAAGCTAAGGCCTCAAAGGATAGTCTCCACATACTGATCTCCCTTTTTCTAGTCACTTACTCCCCCCCCCTTCCTTTTCAGAAGTTTGTGGTCTTTCCCATTTACACTGACCTTCTTATCTGAACTCTTGTCTTTTCCCACATTTTCCCCACATTGGCCTTGTACGATCTCTGCTTGACTTTATTTTCATTAAATATCCCTTGCCCTACAATGTCTAGTTTCCATTGCTTCTTTTCTTACACATTCAGGGATTTATCCATCTCCCCTTCTGAATAGAAGAAAATACTTTTGATGAGACAAAATTTCATACCATAAAGTAAAATATGGATATAACTGACAGTTTTTCTCAAAAAACATTTTGACTGCTTAAATCAAAGAAGTTAAACATTTTTGATATAATAATTCATTTTTAGGTATCTACTGTAAGGAAATAATCAGTACTCCAACTGAAAATCATGGAGAATGATAAGTCATTATAGAATTACTTAAAATACTGAAGGGGCACCTGGGTGACTCAGTCAGTTAAGCATTCAACTCTTGATTTTGGCTCAGGTCATGATCTCACGGTTCATGAGTTTGAGCCCTGCATCAGTCTCTGTGCTGGCTGTGCAGAACCTGCTTGGGATTCTCTCTCTCCCTCTTTCTGTGACCATCCCCCACTTGTTCTCTCTCTCTCAAAATAGATAGATAGATAGATAGATAGATAGATAGATAGATAGATAGATAGATAGATAAAATGAAATAGTGAAAAAATTACTCACCAAACATATCAGAAGGTGTTGGTTATACAAATTATAGTGGAACATATAAGAGAAAAATGTGTACCCATTAAAAAATTCAACGATAAAAAATTTTTAGGGGTGCTTGGGTGGCTCAGTCAGTTGAGTATCTGACTCTTGATTTTGGTTCAGGTCATGGTCCTAGGGTCATGGAATTGAGTCCGATGTGGGGCTCCATGGAGCCTGCTTAGGCTTCTCTCTCTCTCTGTCCCTCTCTCCCACTTGTGTTCTGTCTCTAAAATAAAAAAAAAAAATTGTTTTAAATAATTTTAAATGTTTGTTTATTTATTTTGAGAGAGAGAGTGAGCATGGTGAGGCGGAGAGAGGGAGAGAGAGAATCCCAAGCAGCCTCCACACTCAGCACTCAGTGTGGAGCCTGACACAAGGTTCAATCTCTTGAACTGCTAGATCATGACCTGAGCCAAAATCAAGAGTTGATGCTTAACCGACTGAGCCACCCAGGCGCCCCCACAAAAGGCTTTTTCACAGATGTAAGATACATATATACTTACTAGATTAAACCATGTGAAATTGCCATCCCGTAGTAAAAACAGACATTGTACAAAACCACCAAAAAGAAATAGCCTGTAATAATGGCTATCAGGGTTTTTTTCCTACCTCTGTCCACATGGTTCTCTTCCCTCAGTGACTATGGCTCTTGAACCATTATTTTCAACTAAACCTGGGAGGTGAGGCAAGCACCACAGAGTGAAGAAGTCCCTGTAAGTAGTGAGAGGCCTGTGCTTTCATTTTCTTTATATAAACATAATGCCTGTGCTCTATGCTTCCAGTTTCAGTCTCAATGCTAGGTCAGTCTAGTTTTAGTATAGTATCTCAGTATAGTTTCGTATGGTATCTCAGTATAATGTTTATTATAATATACTGCTAATTTTCAGTTTATCAGTATTTTATATTTTATATTGACTTATTTAAATCATAAATGAGGATTTAGCTCTTTTACATTATTTTCCCCAACATTCATCCACGATTAATGCTTACATTGCTTTGACTTCATAACGCTTGTTCCCTGCAGGGTAAAGTAGTGTACTATAATTACAGTTCCTTTTTTTTTTTTTTTTTTTTTTTTTTTTTTCCTTTCCTAAAGCTAATGCTTGCTTTTTAAAGTATTTTATTTGGGGTGATTTTCCATGCTGTTTTATAGTGGCTTGGTTAATTATTATAGTTTTCTCTTATGTAACAACAGTCGATTCAACTTAACTGTCTATTTTATTGACTTCTTTGCTCACTGCGATTTCTTGTATTGTGTATCATCTTCTTCACAATCACTTTTCCTCCAAATGGAAGATAATGCTCAATTATTTCAGGCTTCCAGTATTGTTTATTGGTAGTTCGGTGTTAATATATTAATTCTCATTTATTTGCACACAACCTGCCATTTCTGTCTGGATGCTTTTGTGTTTTCTGGTATTTTTTTTTTCCTTGAAGTCCTGAAGTTTCACATACAATTTTTAGCATTCAGTGAGCACTGAATTGTGAATTCTAAGAAATATTTTTATCTGTTACTGCTTTGATCATTTCTCTCCCTCCCTTCAGTCTTCACCATATTCACGGAACTACTACAAAATGGGCTTTTAGGGGCGCCTGGGTGGCGCAGTCGGTTAAGCGTCCGACTTCAGCCAGGTCACGATCTCGCAGTCCGTGAGTTCGAGCCCCGCCTCAGGCTCTGGGCTGATGGCTCAGAGCCTGGAGCCTGTTTCCGATTCTGTGTCTCCCTCTCTCTCTGCCCCTCCCCCGTTCATGCTCTGTCTCTGTCCCAAAAATAAATAAACGTTGAAAAAAAAACAAAAAACAAAATGGGCTTTTACTTTTGTCTTTCCATCTGTCTCTTTTTTTACTCTGCATTCTAGGAGAATCCCTCAGTCTTCCATCTTAGCCATGTATTCATTTTGCTTCTCGACCCATTGAGATCGTAGACCTTAGGATCAGACAGCTTGACGGTAGCTGTGACATAAGTTACTTAACCTTTTCAACCTTGGGTTTCCTCATGTGTAGAATGGATGTCATAAGAGTTCCTCTTACATAAGATTGTGCAACTAGTGCCTGAGTATTTCAAATGGGCATGACAGGGATAGTTGTAATCCTTTTCAGTCCTTTTATTAATTTGAAAGAATTCTGATTATTTTTCATAGCAATGTGTTTATATTTTATTAGATTATGTTGTTTTTCTAGATGCGATATCCTCTCAGATTTCTCTGGGATTTTAATGATGTACCTTTTAAATTCTGTTTCCTCTGGTCATTATTTCTTGAGTTTATGCCAGTCTTCATTTATGTTAGTTTTCTGCTTTTTTTTTTTTTTTCAGTCTGCTTATATTGTTTTTATTGTCTCATTTTTTTTTTCAAAAGGCTTATGTTCACAGTATGACACTGGAGTATGTATCCTCAGCTGATGCTTGGCCCTCTTTGGTGCATGCATGCTGTACTTATAGAGGACACCTCTGCTGATTGGGTTTGAGACAGATATAAGAATCCAGATGGTGGGTGGTTGTAAACCCCTTTTTTAAGGTTGCCTTTTCAGTGCAAAATTACCTGGGATGTGCCCTGCTTCTCAATCTCTAGCTCTGAGATATCTCTCTTATCAGAAATCCCACTTCAAGGGTTACCTCGAGCCTTACTCTGGGCACATGTGGAGTCAGTTGCTTCTTTTTGTACTTTAATCAACCCTTTCATTGTGCAGGTTCAGTATTACCTCAACTTCTGCTTTTCTCTCCAGCGCAAATAATACTATTAGGAGTTTTTCTTTGGCAGACCATTTATTTTGTTCTTGAGGCTTTCTGTGGGGCCACTACCCTTAGCCACCCAATGTTTCATTTTTTTGTAGGGAAGAGGGTGCTTGGGAGAGTGGTGCTGCTAATGGCAACAACTTGTCCAGCCATTAGAAATGCCTAACATTAGGGGCGCCTCGGTGGCTCAGTCAGTTAAGTGTCCGACTTCAGCTCAGGTCATGATCTCGCAGTCTGTGAGTTCGAGCCCCGCGTCAGGCTCTGACGCTGACATCTCAGAGCCTGGAGCCTGCTTTGGATTCTGTGTCTCCCTCTCTGGTCCTTCCCCTCTTGAACTCTGTCTCTTTCTCTCTCTCTCTCTCTCTCCAAAGTAGATAAACAAAACTAAAAAAAAAAGAAAAGAAATGCCTAACATGAATTAATAAACATGTTTCCAGGGTAAACCTCTCTTTATAACTGTTGATTCTGAGTTTGGAATTTGAATTTCTAGGATTTGTTGAGATCTTAGTCTTTTGGAAGCCCTTTTCTCTGTATGTGATTTGAGCTGTGCATTTGGGTTTTGGCTTTTTTGTTTGTTTATTTGTTTTTGGTTTTTGTTTTGTTTTGCTTTGTTTTGTTTTTTGGGTTTTTTTGGATTCTCCATCAGTTCTCATTCATCTGCTCTTTATCATCTAGGAGCTTCTCAACATTTTTATTCTGCTAATTGTGGCCTATTTTTACAAGACTATTGTGGACTTCTTTTTTGTCACCTCAGTGTAATATTAAGATACTCACTCTAATTGTTTTGATGAACATACATACTCATAAGTCTAAAATCTACATTCCTGGCACAGTTCTCTCTCAGGAGTTCCAGGCCCATATTACTGAACAGTACAAGAACAGCACCACAAATTAAACAAGGCAGTTTGTGTTTGTTATTGGTCCGCACTTTCCCATTCCAGCCTGTCTTACCAAGTACACCCCCATACCTGGTCAATTCAAGGATCCTGGTGGGTGCCTCCTTCCCCTCCTAAGTTTAGTCAGTCATCATGTGATTTAAAATGAATTTCTCCCTTTGTCTTGATAACCATCCTTATCACTTTGCTTCTGATTTGCTGCAGCAATTGTTTCTCTACCTAAAGTCTTGCTTATTTCTGATGGTGTTTAAAATCACAAAATCAGGTATTTTGCTCCCCATTGAAGTCCTTTAAATCCCTGAGGGTTGTAATCCTAAATCCTTATAGTACACGCCAAGCCCTTTGTTCTGGCTCCTGCCTTCCTCTTAAGAGCACACTTTTTACCACTGTCACCTGTTTTATATCCTCCACAAGGAGTTGTGTATAGTTTTCTGGAGCATGTCATATTTTCTCTGCATTTTCACTTCCCCCCCCCCCGCCCCTTCCATTTGCTCCCAGAAATCTTCCCCAAGGTTTGGGTTGAATGCCTGTACTCTGTGCTCCCATGACTGGTTGTGCGTGCATCTGTTGTCATACTTATGGTTATCACTGTTGATACTGTCTTTCTTCCTAGTAGGCTCTAGCTTGTTAAGCAGAAGAATTTCTATTTTCTTCTTTGTATCCCCAGCACCTTTTAAAGTGGGTTACCAATTTAAATGCAAATTTAATTAAAGTACAATGAAGTAAAGTGAAATGAAATGTTATTTGTGACAAGGACACATTCATTGCCTATGCAAGGTTAGGGGAAGAACAGTTTTTTTTTGTTTGTTTAAAAGCTGAGACAAGATTTCTGCCTTGTGTAGCTAAGCCTTCTCTCCTTCTGACATTAACCCAAAGGACATGACTATAAGGACGAGACTGAACCTTTTCCTAGTTACTAAATCTTCAAGCATTAGGCATTCTAGTTCCAAAATCTTGAAATCTACTCTTTGTATGTTCTTATCACTGAATTCTCTTTGTTCCCTAGGAGATTTGAATGAAAATTCTCTGGAGAATCTTCAAGAAAAAAGACTTAGGGATCTATTACGTAGGGGCTTTTCTGCTGGCTAATTTTAGAAGATATGGCCAGCACAATAACAGAGTCAGGATTGTATTGTGAATCTTCCAGGAGAAGGGTACAGGAATCCTGAACTAGATTGTTCCCTTTGTCAGAAGTAGGGAGAAGCATCTTCTGTATTTCTAGAAACAAGAGCAGTATGGTGACTCTTCAAAGTGATGATTATAAAAACATGGCAAGTGAAGAATATTTGTCTTTGAAAGTCCCAAGCCAAGTGGCCACAAAGGGCTCCTCAGTGACTTTCTGCAAAAATGAGCCCCAGGATACTCAGAAAAGTAAAAGTCTGTTTATAACTGAAGAAGGCACTGAGAGAAAAGTCTTGGGAGGAGAAAGTCCTCCCACGGACCATTGTTCAGAGAACCTTCAAATTAAACTTTTGTCTGATGTAACAGAACTGGTCTCGCCATTGGTCAGTGGTGAGGCGACTTGCCAGAATGGCCAGTTGAGAGAATCTTTGGATCACTTTGACTGTAACTGCAAAGACATTTGTGGTTGGAAATCACAAGTGGTCGGTCGTAGTCATCGGAGAGCTCATACAGAGGAGAAACCCTGCAACCATTACCACTGCAGGAAAAGACATAACAACAGCTCAGGCAGTAATCCGTGTGAGAAAATCCACACTGCAGAGAAGCTACACAGATGTAGTCAGTGTGGTAAGGACTTCAGCGAGCGCTCAGAACTACTACTTCATCAAAGACGCCACGCAGAAGAAAAGCCCTACAAATGTGAGCAGTGTGGGAAGGGCTTCACGAGGAGCTCCAGTCTCCTCATCCATCGAGCAGTCCACACGGATGAGAAACCCTATAAGTGTGACAAGTGCGGAAAAGGCTTCACAAGGAGTTCAAGTCTGCTCATTCATCACGCAGTCCATACAGGCGAGAAGCCTTATAAATGTGACAGGTGCGGGAAGGGCTTTAGTCAGAGCTCCAAACTGCACATTCATCAACGAGTGCACACTGGCGAGAAGCCCTATGAGTGTGGGGAGTGTGGTATGAGCTTCAGTCAGCGCTCCAACCTGCACATCCACCAGCGAGTCCACACTGGGGAGAGGCCCTACAAATGTGGGGAATGTGGGAAGGGCTTCAGTCAGAGTTCGAACCTTCACATTCACCGGTGCATACACACAGGTGAGAAGCCCTTCCAGTGCTACGAATGTGGGAAGGGCTTTAGCCAGAGCTCTGATCTCCGCATCCATCTCAGAGTCCACACTGGAGAGAAGCCCTATCACTGTGGCAAGTGTGGGAAGGGATTTAGCCAGAGCTCAAAACTCCTCATCCACCAGAGAGTGCATACTGGAGAGAAGCCCTATGAGTGCAGCAAGTGTGGGAAGGGCTTCAGCCAGAGCTCCAACCTGCACATCCACCAGCGGGTTCATAGGAAAGATCCTATTAAATAAGGTCTACTGGAAAGACTTAAACATTTTTAATATCACTCTTCCCTTTATATTCTCAGGAGAGAGATCATAGGTTATTCAGATATGTTCCCTCACTGAAATTTATTCATTCATTTAAAGTATTTAAGTACCAAGCACTTTGTCATGCTATTCAGAGAACCGATTGTTCTGGTTCCTCAGATGGGTAGAGTGAAATATCTGTACTTTGCAGTTCAGCCAGTGTTATTAGAACTGTATATCCTACCCCACATTTTTAAGTGCAAAAAACTTTATATTTGTGCAAGCAGAACATGTTTCCCTTTGTTCACATTCTGAGAAATTGAAACTCTGGTTTCTCTTCAAATCATGTGCCTTGTGTTTTTCCTATTTCCTTCCAGCCTTGATGAGCTCTCTCTGAACTGTGATTGCACGTGTTTTAGGTCAAGGGAGTGTTGGGAGATACTATGGGCATGAAATCTCTTGTGTTCATGAAAAAAAATATACCAACAGTGTGTGGCCACGTGGCAGGTGGTAGAGAGGAGCTACTTGTGTGGTACACCCCATACACTGTTTTACAGAATATTGAACCCACCCCCCTAAGGCAGCTGCCTAGGAACAGAAGTAGTTCTTTTTCCTGGGTGCAGCTGGTCTATTGGTGTTCTTCCAGATCTCACCACTTCAGATGACCCCCCACCACCAAACTAAAGCCAAATAGGGTACATATACCATGTTGAAACATAGCAGAAATGAAATATATCTAAATGTATTTAATTCCTCACTACCTCATTTCCTTAATTTTCTTCAGCACTCATGTCTGCGATAAGTAAAACAAAGGAGTCCAGAGAGAAAATTTCTAGTATTTTTCTCTTTGGGCTTATCTCTTGTTTTAATATTTGCTGTACCCCCCAAAAGCCATTTGTTTTCACAGAATCCCCAGCCTGTTTAGGTCTCACTACAGATCTAGAAGTCTGATTTATAAAATTATTCTTATATTTGGCTGAAAGTACTTCACATAAAAATAGCTATATGGGGCACCTGGGTGGCTCAGTTGGTTAAGCCTCCGACTCCACTCAGGTCATGATCTCACATTTTGTGAGTTTGAACCCCATGAGAGGCTGTGTGCTGACTGCTCCGAGCCTGGAGCCTGTTTTCAGATTCTGTGTCTCCCTCTGTCTCTCTGCCCCTCCCTGCTCACACTCTGTCTCTCTCAAAAATAAATAAATGTGAAAAAAAAATAGCTATATAAAAACATTTTAACCTATTTGGAGAGTATGTTTGGGATGACCAGGCTTAAAATATGCAATGTATCACATATAATTCACTTGCAGTGTGAAGCTAGGACACTTCAAAGAGACATTTGTCCCCTAGAAATTGATACAAGAAGCGGAAGCAACAGTTGAAAGAAAAGTGATTATGTACATAACTAAATTGAAATTTACTATACAATGAGCAGCCCTCATTTTCTCACTAATGGTTAATGATTCCTCAAGCAGTTCTCAGGTGGTTACCTAGTGTTTCATATCCCAGTTTTCCACCAATAACTAGTATCCATATATGAAAAATATGGATGCTTATTAGCTTGAGAACATGGGGTTATAACTAATATATCCTGACCAAGGTAAGCTGAAGTAGTTAACTGGACATAGATAACAGGAAAAGTATACATTAATTTTGGGGAAACAGCTCATCTCTATTAAGGAATAAAGAAGAGAGATTAAGACATTTGCCTTTAAGAGATAGTTCCAGAATATTTGACTCCACCCTTGAGTAAGCGTTCCATATGCAATGATTAGGGTGATGATTAAGCATCTGCCCTTTAGCCATTCCATAATGTCTCACTTGTTTGGGTACTCTAAGGCAACATCACAAATGATGTGATTCTGTTTCACCAATCTCTAGAATAATGAATGAATGCCTCTCATTCCTTCTACCCTCATAGATCATACCTGAGTATCTATTCAGGATTTCACTCTTTGTCACATATGTCTTCTAACTCCCTGATATATGGAATCTAACTGGGGTTTGGAGCCAAATATGATCACAAGAACCTGTGTGTTTTGAGGATAGAGGGAGGTCGGAAGTCCAAATCTCAAATGGTTATAAAATAGCTTATTTTTCCAAATTTCCTTTTATACATAACTTATGATATCAATTTTTTTAACTATGTTTAGTTTTTACTATTTTCTTTTAAGCATCATCTTCCTTAATACAATTGAAATATGATCAGAGTCCTTGGGAAGCATTTAACGGATTATGGGAAAGAAGTTTGTGGAAAAGAGGGATTTACACGTGAAAATACAGGGGGAACAACAGGGGATATGTCACATTTCATCAGATCTTAAGAAACCATTGATTGTGAAAAAAGCACTTTGCTAAGATACATCCCAATTTCATGAAAAAAATATATGTGTGCTTTAGGATTGTTGAAGAAGAGTTTTTTTCAGAGTTCAAGGGTTGCCCTAGGCTTGATACTTGATTTGAACAAAGACCTTTGGCTATTCTCACTAATCATCAGTTATATTCAGTTGATAATTCTGTCACTATATAGGTTACAGATTATTTGTTGAGTACTTGGAACACTTTTACAATTCTTAAAATTCTTACCTATTCATTGGGTGCTGTTCCTTCTGTATGGGTTGTTTAATATCTTAAAGTCAAAATACTAGTGAATATGTGATCACTACTTGTCACATTTCCAAATTATAATGTTTAACTTTTTTAAGATTTTATTTTTAAGTAATCTCTACAACAAACATGAGGCTCAAATTCCCAACCCCGAGATCAAGAGTTGCATGTTCTACCAACTGAGCCAGCCGGGCACCCCTGATATTTTAATTTTTCCTTCCCACCCCCCACCCTGACAGCCAGAGTTAGGGGATAGAACGAAATATGGAAATTCCCATGGCTTTCCCATTGTACTTTCATTGATGAGAAAGCATCATGACTGGTCATGGAGTACAAGACTATACCCTAGGTAATGAAAGCCAACAAAAGTTCAAAGCAACATGCCCAAAGAAGTTGCAAGAGTAAAACTGGCACCAGATTGGTACCTGAAGGCAGGTAATAACAGCAAGTAGGTTCAAGAGTTAGATCTGGGAAAAGCTAATACATAGGAACATGTGGCAAGGGCCACAGAAATGTCAGCATATGGTCAACCCAAGCAAAATGACTAGCAGAGAAAAGGCTAGAAAATGCGCTTTTTGTTAAACATCTCTCTGGACAGCATTAAAATGCTAAAAAGAAATTTTTTACATTTATAAAACCACAGCAATAAAGGACAGGAGGAAGACCATAACAAACAAATCTCAACAAAAATTTGAAAGATGGAAGGGGGGTGGCTATTGTATCAGAGCAGAAACAGGCACCATTTAAACTGCTTGCATATGAAGATAAGGACAAAAAGTAACCAGTTTGGCTCCAGTCTCAGAAATGCTTAATACTGTGGAAGACAGGAGTGAGACATGAAGGGAAAGCAGTGAAGTTAATGGCCAAGTGTATATGGAACATTCACTTAACCCCATACACCTATGCCCTCCTCTCCAACCCCTGTGCCTTTGCCAACCAGACATTTACCCTCCAGCAAGAGGTGGGGAGTTCTTTGCAGAAATTGGCCCGGAGGGAGAGACCTGTATTCTGGCATTTGAGAATCCAACAGTAAAACAGTTATCTTCTATCTCCAATACTTATAGCTTCAAAATGCACGAAATAAAAACTGATAAAATTGGGGCACGTGGGTGGCTCAGTCGGTTAAGTGTCTGACTTTGGCTCAGGTCATGATCTCACGACTCATGAGTTCAAGCCCCGCATTGGGCTCTATGCTGACAGCTCAGAGCTTGGAGCCTGTTTTGGATTCTGTAACTCCCTCTCTCTCTGCCGCCCGCCTCCCCCCCCCCCCCCACACACACACACACACTCGTGCTCTGTCTCTCTCTCTCAAAAATAAAATAAAAACATTGAAAAAAATTTTTTGAATGATAAAATTGAAGGGTGCGTGGCTGACTCAGCCAGTGGAGCATGCGACACTTGATCTCACAGTTGTGAGTTTGAGCCCTGTGTTGGGCTAGGAACCTACTTAAAAAAAAAAAAAAAAAATCTGATAAAATTGAAATAAATGTAGACAAATAAATGTATGGTTATTTCAAGTATTTCAACACTTAAGTGATACCACAAATAGAAAATCAGTTAAGGCTGCTTAACCGAGTTACCCAGGTGAAGGGCAATCCAGTTGTAAACAAAGACACGCTGAAACTCTGCAAAATGTTCTTATGTTAGCTACTTGACTATTAAGATTCTCTTAAAGTTTTAAACTGTCAAAAAAACAATCAGTTAAGGGTAAAAAAGACCATCAACTAATTTGATTAAATGACATACATAGAACACCACCCAACAACAGCATAATGTACATTCTTTTCAGGTGCAAATATTGTGAGCTATAAAACGAGTTTCAAATGATTTAAAAGAATGGAAACTATACAAGGTACGTATAACCAGAAAATAATTAAATTAAAAATCACTAACAGATATCTGAAGAACCCCAGATATTTGGAAATTAAGTCACCCTCCTAAATGAGCCATGAAGAGGAGGTAAAAAGGAAAATTTGAAAATATTTTGAACTGAAAGTATATACCGAAATATTTGGACCTACTAAAGCAGTGTGGAATTTTAAACTTTATGCCAATAAATTCAACAACTTAGGTGAAATGTCAAAACTCCTTGACAAGCAAAAACTACCAAAACTCACTCAAGAAGAAAAGAAATGTGAGTAGCCCTAAAAGTTGAATTTGTAGCTGACAACCTTCCCCCACAAAAAAAAAAGTGCAGACCCAGATGGCACAAATGAATTCTACAAATATTTAAGGGAGACAGAGCAACAATTCTATACAAATTCTCTTCTAGGAAGAAACACTTAACAACCCATTTGTGAGCCAACATTACCCACGTACCAAAGCCAGGAAAAGACCTCACAAGAAAAGAAAATCATACATCAACATCTCTCATGAATACAGATGCAAAAATTCTTTTA